TTTTAAGTGTAAGGAGAATGACACATGTTAAGTAAAAAAGGAAGAAGGTCCAAAGGAGAAGGTTAGAGAGAATATTGCTAGCATTTCTCTAAAATCAAAATCCTCTTTTCTTTCCTTTCCCTTCTGTAGTATGAAAACTATATTACATAATTTTTCCACTTTCCCAACTTCATCTTTCTTTTTTTCCTTGAACTAAAATACTTTCTTCTATAGAAAAAACAATTAAAAGGAACTAAAATATTAAGGTGTTAATGACATACCGAATACTCGGATATCAGGCTATTCTCGACCGGTATAAGCAAAACTCTCTCTCCGTTTGGAGCTTCGAGCTCTAAGAAGACAAACAGACCCATATTGGCATTCGGGGTGCTCCGAAGCTTTCCCAGGTTCTGGTTTTGCTCAGAAAAGCTCAAACTCTCTCATTTTTGAAAGAGATGAAGAACACCAGCCTTTTTATTCCAATTCTTTTATTGTTATCGTTTTCCCTTCAACAAACAGTCCAAGTCTCCTCCTTTACACAGAGAAACCAGGTACTTCTTTATGCGTGTGTGAGTGCCTATACGTATGATATTGTTCTTTACTTATTTAGATGTTGAATTGTGCTTGGTAGCTTCAATTTTGTGTATTGGATTATGGGTTTTGTAAAGTAAAGATTTTTAACTAATCAACTTTTGGTTCTAATTGAGAGAACTTTACAGAGAGTACAAAAATATGGATTGCGTTTTTATTTACGTTTGGATTTTCCAGAGTTTGAACCCGTTAAACAGAGCAAAGGAAAGGTTTTGATCAAAAGGGAAAGATGTGTCAGAGCTTCACCCTAGCTTGAATTACATTTTACTCAAATGCTAAAATGTCTTGTCTCAGTATGGTTATTACAATAGTCACAATTTTTAGTTATTTCATGCATATGAGCATTTTGTGAATATAATTATATATTTTTTCTCCATGGACCTTCCATAGTGACGTAATTTTCTGCCTTTTTCTAACCCAGGAGTTTGAAAAATCTGCATCTTCAAGGTAATATTACTTTCACTCTTTAGATTCATTTGACAACCTTTCATTGGCTATATTCGTTTTTAGTTCAAACATGTATGATGAAATTTGTAACTGGGATTTTATATTTCTCTCTTTGGGTTGGACATATTTTCAGTACATTTTTTTTTCGTATTTTCTTATTTTAGAACTCTTGAACAAGAACACGAGCATGCTCATGAAGTACATTGTTCCAGAGAAAGAAGTAGGGCAGCATGGAAAATTATCGAGGAGGTATGGACAAACATTGAGTGGTTTTACAATATCATACCATGCCTAATAGTGTGCTAAAGGGCATCTCTGGTTTGTGTAATGTAGTACCTGATGCCGTTTCTGGAACAAGAGCACTATGAGATGTCAAGTAAGTGTCGACTTCATCCTGACAATGATCTATTTAGGGATCAGGAACAGCACAAGATTCATCTGGATATAAACGAATGGCAGTGTGGATACTGTAAGAAAAGCTTCCGTGCTGAAAAGTTTCTTGATCAGCATTTTGACAACAGACACTACAATCTTCTTAATATAGTATGTGGACTGTATTTCCTTGCTTTAATATGTTAGGAGCACTTGTTCAATAAGTGCAAGATGCAATTTCGAATTTGTCATCACGTGTCAAACTTCTTCTTTTTGGTTGCACAATGGCATGCTGCATCAGGTCACTCAGTAATCGGTCTATGTAAAACATCTAATTTCATTTTCAGCTGATCCTGTACATATTTGTTTCCCTCTATTATATTTGTAATTTTGTTCTTATTTCATTTTACATAAACTTATCTGCAAATTGAAGACCTATTTTCAAAGAAGCATTTGTATCTAGTCCATGTTTATCAGTTCTGGTTGCCTTGGGGTTTCTTAAACCCACTTTACATATTTGTTTTATTTATTTATAAAGTATCAGTTTAGCTGTAGCATGATGGAATAATTAGATCAGAAAATAATTTATGAAGAAAAGTAAAAAGTGAAGACTAATTACATGGCTTAAATAAATAATTTCTGCACACTTGCATGATATATCAAGACATGATTATAAATTTATTTGACCTCTGTCTTTTCTGTTAGTTATATCTCTAATCTGGAATGTATGGTTCTTGTTTCCATTATATGGTTTGTTTTGTCTGCATGAATTTTTATTTTTTATGAATGCAGAGTGGCAGCAAGTGCTTAGCTGATTTATGCAGAGCTTTGCATTGTGATGTTGTAATGGATACCAAGTTAAGCAAGACCAAATGCAATCCTGCAGCTGCTGCAAGGAATCACCATCTATGTGAGGTTGCTTTACGGCACTATAATTTTTTTGTATTGTCAATTCTTATACATTACCTTGTCTGAATCTTTTTTTTTCACCCCATACTGTAGGGTCTTGCCGATAGCTGTTTTCCTATTAATCAAGGTCCCTCAGCACGCCGCCTTAATGGTATTTTTCTTTGTTATCAACAGAAACTCTACCATTTCAATTCTGACATTATTTGACTGCCTTATAGTTATCTCTTTTCTTGTGGTCGTCTTATTACTATTTCAGATACTTAATAGTTTATTATACTTATACTTACATTTTGATGTATTGGTAGAATTGTTTTTGCACCAATTTTGTCACGCTCACACTTGCTCGAGGAAACATAAACATTTTCCTAGAGGAGGAAAGGTAAGGTTTCAGTCTCCTAGTGCAATAGATTTTGCAATAAAAAATGAAATGTGCTTAAAACAAAATATGGAAAATTTCATTTCCCAGACTGCATAGATGATCTACTCATGTTAAAATCTTTTACCTGTTTACACTCTCATTGTCTTTCTACTGGCTTGTTCCTTTTGATGGCGAACACAGACTTCTAAGGTCAAATATCTCTGGCTACCATTAGTCTTTATGTGGCATAGTTTCAGTATCTTCTAGCTTATTTTATATTTCAGTATTTCGCAATCGTTGTCTGTGATTACCAAGATTCCTTTTTCTTTTGAAGATTTTGCTTTGCAGAAAAATATGTGGTCACTTTTTTTTTTTTTTTT